GACGCTTTTATAAATATTTTCCTAGATGAAATGCTCATCGAAGGTGTTATAAATCTTTGGGAGTTAACTATGGATTCTTTTTTATAAATAGAAAGTTCAATAACCTGAAACTTTTTCAATTTTACACGGAGGTCCCTGTTTTTATCAATTCTTTTTTTATTTTCAAAAAATAACCCTCAGTTCAACTCTTTAAGGATCAAAATTGCACTAAAATTTGTCAGTTCGACCCTTAACAAGTGCTAACAATTGGCTTCTGGCTTTTGTTAATGGTCGAATTGGCTTCTGGCTTATTAACAAGAGCCAGTTCAACCCTTATATAGTTCAAGTTCTTCTTAATAACTTAAAAAAAGCATGAGGAAATTTAGGTCGACTCTTTAAGGATCAAATCGGGGTTATTTCTAGAAAAAGAAAATCATAAAAAAGGACCTCAGTGTAGAATTGAAATACTTTTTGACATTTTTATTTCCAAAAAAAAGGATCCATATGTTAATTTCCCTTATTGTTTGTATATAATTACAAGGAATAAGTTGTGTAAAAATTTTACATAAGGCGTCAATTTTTATTTTTTTTGGACATGTTAACCGTGGGAGGGTGGGGTGTTATTAGGAGCAACCACCTCACTAGCCACTATGCCCCAAACCCATTTCAAGATATATAATATCAACGTTATACCGTAGAAGTAAAGTGCACCTCAAAATCCACCTAAAAATGTTATTATGACGTGAGAAGCTCTAGAATTGATCATTTTGATCTCAAGAAGTATGGATATAAAAAAAAAATTTTGATTTTAGTTCCTTAAAAAAAAAGCACCTTGTAACACTTTATCTAGACTGTCGGTTTTCAAAAAAATTTATTATTTATAGATTTGCTTGATCGATAGCAATTTTGGATCTTTAAATTTCATAATTAGGTTTAAAATAGATTTTTAGGGCATAATAGGTATTTACGGCACCTAAATTGTATCTTTTAGCAAGATTTATAGTTGCAAACTTAGTTTGATTCTTTAAGTTGACACCCTAGACAAAACCACACCTATAAGTTGATAATGCTCGACAAGGGGTTATAATCACCGTCCTATTAATAGAAGATGTGAAGCTGGATCATGTTTTGATGGGTTCTACTCTCTCTTCATCGCCGTCCATCCATAGATTGGACAATGATGACAGGTAAGACCACAAGTTATCCGTAGTCCAGGAGATTCCTTTGGGGATATACAAATGCGGGGAACGAATTGAAAGGTAGAAGAGGTAAGGAATCACAATAATGAAGAAACTTCCAAAGAAGAAGTTAATTAAGAAACCAAGGAAGACATAGAAAGGAAGCAAAAATTATGGTCTGATTCGAAATAGTATTATTTATTTGAAAGCTGAGGAGGACCCCACAAAAATCATCAACTGACCTGCACATAAGGTCTAGTCTCACATGGGTGGGTGGCCTTTAACCTCGTGCCTCCGCTGTAATGATATATGTGCAAAAGGTAATACTTCACCCTCTCCAATGCAAGAAAAAAGAAACATCACACAAAAAGAAAAGCCTCTTGATGTGTTATACTCCCCGTAATTATAGTGCTGGCAATGGTAGCCTGAGGGTTGGGCAAGAACCAATGCCGGCCCGGCCTGGTACTCCTTTTTCTTATTTCGTTTCGTTTTTTCTCTATTTTTTTTGGCCGGCCCAGCTCTAATAGGGAGCGGGCTAGGATTGGGCTAGCCCTATAAGGATAAGGGTCGGGATTGTGCTAAGGCTCTCCTGTTCCATTACCACCCTCATGATAAAGACTTTTAAAAGTATTTTAACTAAGAAAAAAGTTTATACAAGGTTGACACTTTAAAATGTAAAATTAAGGTGCATCTCTAAAATTCTTAAAAAATGGTTGTTTTGATGTTGAAAAAAATCTAATTGATCATCTCAATATTGAGATGTATAAATATAGAGGAAAAAAGAGATTTCAAGTCTTAAAAATAGTACATCTTGCAACAACAAAATATGGACCTTGCAACAACAAAATATGGACCATCCATTTTTAAGATTTTCATGTGTTTATAAATCACTTTCTTCATCTTCCCAAAACCGCCACTTTTGCACCAATACTATGCCACCACCACCACCATTACTATAACACTAACACCTTTGCCTACCTGCCACCACCACCGCTACCACCACACCACACCATGACCAGCACTACTCTACTTGTTCCACCACAACCACCATTATCGCATTGCCGCCACCACTCTAACTACTCCACCACCACTTCTTTCCTACTACCATACAATAACTATTATAATTTAAAGTATAACAATCAGATGCGTATAATGAGCAAATGACAGTCGACCAAATTGCCATTTGGTCAAATGTAAATTAAAAAACATCATTTAACAAAATTTTGCAATTAAAGGATCCTGATAGTTAGTCGATGATTACTTTCAAAAAAAAGAAATCAGTAGAGTTTTTCAACACTTAGATATTGCCTTCCAAAAATTGCACGGTCTATGTTCAATCTTTGGGACATCATCTCTTACACATACATCGAGTATGCGATTTGATTATTTTATTTGATTATTTTATGTTTTTTTCTTTTTGAGGTTGGTCTCTAAGCTCAGGAGGTTACATCCACAAATTTGGGAGTCCTAAAAATAATCCTAACTTGAATATTACCTGAAGGAGTAATGATGCTCTTGCGGTAACATGAAACCATTTCACATGGTAGTATGGATAGCACACTCCACCCACTATATTGGTTAATATGACTGGCAATGCGGTCGACCTACCGACCCAACCAAATGGGTTGACCTGACATGGTTCCATCTCGCCCCAAATACTGGCCCCAGTGAGTTAGGTACAGTTTCTATAAGATCTAGACTTGAATTAGGTCGGGTCTAAGTCTGGGTCTTATTAGCTCAGGTCAGGTCCAAATCAAGGTTAACCCAATCCAACCTATATTTATAAATAATATATATGAATGGAAAATGTTTATATAAGATGGCAACCTTATAATTCTGCAGTAAGGTGCACATCAAAAATCCTTTAGAAGAGAGTGTTCCGTTGTTAGAAGACCCTTCAATTTGATTATCTTGGTCTCAAGATATATGGATATGGAAAAAAAAAATCAAATCTTAAAAAGTAGTATATCTTGTAAACAAATTATCTGAACCTCATCTTGTAAACAACTTATCTGAACCTTCTATTTTCAGTGTTGATAGATATATTTGGTATGTAACACTCAATATTAGAACTACATATCCAGATAAAGTTTGGAGGTTCGCCTTACTTCTAAAGTTTATTGAAACCGCTCACATAAAGTTTGGAGGTGCGCCTTACTTCTACAGTTTATTGAAACCGCTCACGCTATGTGAATCTATACAAAATTATTCACAAAATTTATTTGTTTTTTATCCAGACCAGGGTCTATCCCACCTGAGATGTTGGGAGTGAGTCCAATAACCTGACCCGAAATGGGTCTGTATCGGGTCTAAGTCCCCTCGTATCTCAACCTAGACCCTGCCCAACCCATCAACACCCTTTTCCGGTCGATTGCTAGTAAACATGGTTTGATTACTAGTAAACTAGCTCATTTTTGACGTGTGGTCATAAAAGCCACCAAGTGCAAGAAACAACCCACGCCCTCTTGAATATGTGGGCCCTTTTCGCCTGAACAAATAACAACCCTAACCCTAAAACCTGCCAATTGAATGAGCCACCGCCACTCTCACAATGTGTGTTCACATTCATTCAAACAAGCTCTTTATTGCATTAAGGTAAAGTGTGACGTGCTAAAACAAGGAATTCATAGTTCCATATGCAGCTTGTGTATTGTATAGAATAGATTTTCCACCTCAAAGTATGGATGGCACGCTACATCTCTACCATCGATCATTGAGACTGATGGTTCAAGTTCATTTTAGCTTATAACAATACCATGTAGAGACATAATAATTTCAAATCAAGTGGCTTAGCAGGGGAGGATTGGATTCTTTGGCTTGGTAGTTTACCACATAGGTTATAGAGAAACTAGCATCAAGGTTAGGATCCAGCTATAACACAAACCCATAAATGATAGGGTATTTATCAAAACCATTCCCTCTTTCTCAAAATTTGAGAAGTACCTAAATCTTTAGAAACTTGCATCTATGCCCATTTTCTGAGGTTGGTCTTATTTTAACCTAAAATGCCTTTTGCAAACTGCAGGGCTTTTTTTTTTTTCAATTTTTTTTTTTTTGCAGACCTGGTAGGGCAATAATGCTTTTTTCTTTTTAATTTTCTTTTTTTTTTTCAAACCTGATAAAGCCATAGTGCTTCATCACGGCTCTATCGGGATAGTGATATAGCCTGGGACACTGTTGGTGCTATGCACTTGGAAATATCACGACACTGTCAATATCATGATGAATGCATCACGAACTTTAACAGAACCATGACCCTCAAAGCAGCACCAAGCGGGTGCTTGGAAATCCAAGTAGCACTGCACTGCACTCGCACTTGGAAACATCACGACTAGTGCCTTGGTGAGGCATAACAAGTGTCATGATGCTATCCCGAGCCTAATAGAGCCCTGATATAGCATCATGCCACTATCTAACGCATTTCAGTCAAAAATAAGAAGAGCTTAAGAAAGTAGGCAGAGACATCAATTTCAAAGTAGCAATTTTAAAATTTGAGAAAAGGAGAAGATTTAGAAGGGACAGTACACTATGAGGGATTTTCGTGTGGCCGACCAAGTCTTCAAGGTTCTCAACCCGTGATCGCACACAAACATAATATTACAATTCGTACCACGAATTAGGTGCTCTTCTTTGGAAGAGAATTTCACAGAGAGACAGAGAGAGAGGGGAAGGTGCTCGTCTTTGGAAGAGAATTTCAGAGAGAGAGAGAGAAAGAGAGAGGGGAAGGTGCTCTTCTTAGGAAGAGAATTTCAGAGAGAGAGAGGGGAAGATTGATTGCAGCTGTTAAAACAAAAAAAAAAGGGGGTTTAGCATTTGCTTTTTTCTCATCTATCTTCCTCCCAATTGGTAAAAAAGTGGCATTTGCTTTGTTCTCATTTCTCTTTCCTTCCAATTGGTCAAAAATAGAAAAAAAGCCTTTCGTCTTTGTGGGCCCAACAAAGAAGCACACACTGAAAGATGCCACCAATCTGACACGCAGTAAAACTCCAAATACCAACAAAAAAAAACCAAAAAAAAAAGAAAAAGAAAAAGTCACACACTGTCTTGAAACAAACAGCAGGTCCTTGTGTGCTGTGTGCCTCTTCTTCCTCCTTTCTCCTCACGCTAGTAGTCGTAGTTAGCAGTAACTTAACAATAAAATCAACAAACAGTTCTATAATTTATGGTCAGCACAGCTAGCCAGTATTTGCAATACTCTCCAAGAGTAAGCAAAGCAAGAGGTGTATGTGTGTGTGAGAGTGAACAGTTCCCTTCACCTCACCACCATTCCCCTCAGGCATGGAAGGTACACTCAAAAAAACAAACCCCCATCCACCCTGAACTTCTTCAGAGTATAAAAATTCACCAAATCTCATCCCCTCAAGAGTGAGAAAGATGAATGATTATGCTCTATTTACAGCAAGACCAAGCCTAAAATCAGCTCCAAAATCCTTCAAACTCCTCCCTACCTATTGTGTCAGTAAATCAAATTAAGAAAGAAAAGAAGAGAAAACTAGTGATATAAACAGCTTGCTTCTTCTCAAGGTCAGACCTCCACCCTCCATATGATGTTGTCAACATTGCTTTCATGCCTTTTCTCTAAGGCGGCAACCTTTGATCTGTGAGCAGCTGCGGCAGCTGCCATTGATTTGCCTCTCTCTCCATGAGGAAGCTCACAAGCTTCACTAATGGACCCACATCTTATATCAGCCGGTGGTATGAAACAGTCAATTGATAGTCCAGGCACATTGAAAGCGACCTCTTCTATAGTCCAGACCTCTTCCATTCTAGTCTTTGTGTGGCTCATTGCCATTTCACCAAACCTAAAGAGCGTGACTATGGACCGGCCGGAGTGTGCGATCATGATCCCCTCAACTGGTCTATAGTCACTGAGAAATGAGTTTATGGTGGTCTCCCAGTATACGGCATCACCTGCACCATTAGATTGGATCCGGGTGAGATGGGAGTCCTCCATGTGAACAAGGAGCCCTGTCCTTTGGCTGAAGTAGCCAAAAAGTACATGCCTAATGATCTCTGCAGGTCCCTCGCTACGAGCTTTGAGTGTTTGTGGGTCCGCACAGAGCTTGAGGATGAAGCAATCTTCACCGTCGACTTGTTTCTCTCCAATGCATCGAGCATCAGCAAACATGCTCGCCGTGGTCCTTGGATCCAAGCCCTATAAAGAGAAAGATCTCTTTTTAGTCAGGACTCATATGGTGCGATGACCCATACCAAGGGAAGACAAGAGAAGGAAAGCCATCATTGAAAATTTTGAAAAGCAAAGGGTCTGATGGACACATGGGCAATGATAATTCCTTTTTTACTTATATGGCAAATATGGGTTTTTATCTTTTTCAAAATTATGGATGGACAAATCATGATCATGCAATTTTTTTTTGCTTTTTCTTTTCTGTGGCTGTTAACAATTGTATTGAAGGAAGCACATGCAGTTTTTTTAATTTCTTAGAAATATGTGTCACAGCAATTCTATTATTTAAGATCGTGAATACAGATGGCGAATATTAGCATTGCAAAGACTCAATATGTAGTTCATTCCATATTGTTCAGATTACATAGTGAATATCAATCTCAAGGGAAGGCAAAAGAAAAGAAATGACAACAGAATTTATAAAAGGGGCTAGATAAACTTACACCATGAATGCTTAGGTGAAATTAAAGTTTCCAATAGACATTATACAATTTACAAAGCAGTCCAAGTACTTACAGTAAAAATTATCCTTAAATTGGAATTAAAAAGTAGTGATCATCATCCACAAGCGATCATATATAAAAGGCTCACAGAAGGGCAGAAATTAAAATAAAGACTCTTTTTTTTCAAGGTTGAAACTAAAAATAAACTAAGAGGGGCTGGATGACCTATGAGCTATTATGATCATTTCTTTTATGGATGAGAATTACAGCATTTTTCTCTGATAAATTATGGGAATGTCGATTATAGTCGTAGTCCTTTTGGATAAATATAAGCAGGTTGCAAGCATACAAATAGCTGATTCCATGGATGCTTAAGGGGAACTGAAGCATTCCAGAGGAATACATGACACACAATTCATCTCATATGACTGATTTATCAGTCCCAAGTCCTAATAGCCAAAAATCATCCTGCCAAAGGTTAGAACAATCCTTTTCTAAATGACAAGATTAAGAGAGAGGCTGACCTGAAGAGCCCGACGTAAGGGTCTAACAGGACCTTTAGCTGCATGGGCACCAAGCCATGGAGTGTGTCTCCAAACGAGCTTTCCGTTGCAGCCAGCATGAACCTTGCTTCCACCCACTGCTAGCTCAACATACCACATATCAGGCATCATTTGCCACAACACAAAGCCACCGGACTCTGCTGCTTTTCCGGCATTGCGATTCTTCATGACTTTGGTTGCGGTCTCAAATTCAGAAGCTATCATTTTCACCTTTCCCATTGCATAAGCATTTCTAACCGAGCCCTGCAACCTTGAGCCCCCGGATGCAGCCGTGTATTGTTGCAGTATATACTGAGCAGAAGATGTTTCCTAGCAAAAGGTAATACATTAAGAGTTACGAAAATCATTACTAAAACACAACAAAGGAGTGTATTTGACCGATAGTTTGAAGTTTGAACCAGTAAACCAGAGCAAACATTAAAAACTAATAATAATAATTAGAAAACTGAAATATTAAAACTCTATGAAAAGAATGTTAAAGTGACTATCATGGCTGATGAAATTGTTCATATTCTCAAATTTCAAACAAGAACACAGCAAACCAACAACTTAATCAGATGCAACATAAGAAAATTTAATTGTATAATGAAAACCCAATTGGAAAATCGAAAAAAGCCATTATAAGATTATCCCATCAAGCGTTTTATCACTCATATGTTATTCTGAACTGCGGTAAAAATTAAAAGGAAGAGAGATGATGCCCAAGAAAAAGAAAAACGAGTGCTTTGAGAGGTTGCTTTATCTGTAGTGCAAAAACAAAAAGATGGACTGCAACAAACAAGATACCTAGAAATGGCAAGGGGGAGAGAAAGTGAGAGAGAGAAGGTTGCATAGGAAGAACAGAAATTTCAAGAAGATAAAAACAGAGTCTTTAATCAAGTCAAACAGTTTCAAAAAAAACAAAAAAACAGAGACTTTAATCATGAAGATAAAAGAAACAGAAAAAACACTAACGATAGCAAATGCCAAAGGAAAAAGAAAAAAAAATATAAATCAGAACATAAAATGATGACAAGAGCTTCACATAAAAAATAAAAAATAAAAAAAAATGAATAAGGGAGGGCCGAGGGTTTTCGAGTAGTTTGAGGTCAAGGGTTCAAGCTTTACAGTAGACATGAAAAGAGAAAATCAGAGAAAAACACACACACAGATGAAAAGCAAGTAATAGAAGAAAAGATCCATCCATTCCAAAACAGGGGTGACAAGAAGTAGAAGGGATTGCATACATAATAACCAAAGATAGAGCGAAAGAGAGAAATAAAACAAGAGAGAGAAAGCCAAGAACTTACAATGGGGGTATCCTTGATACTGAGATGAGGGAGCGGATCCATAGTACTAACATGAACAGGAGCGAGCGGCGCCCCCATCACCCCCAAAAGTAGTCGCAGATCCGATCTCTTATTGTAAGTGGAAGACACAGAAGGTGTCCTCGAAAGCTGACCCTTCATCCAATGCCCCCATCCTTCCTTCCTCCCCTCTCCTTCGCAGCCTTCGGCATCAGGCCCTTCCATCAGCGGGGTTAGCGTCTCCCCAACCGGCCTCATGCTCCCCGACCGCGCCATCAGGACTGAGTCAACAGCCGCCTGGTTGTGCTGGACACCGCCGCTGCTGCTGCTGCTGGACTTCTTGTGGCGGCGGAGGAGGCCAGACATCGGAGAGGTGCTGCGGGCAGGACTCTTTGCCCGGATTCTGCCAGGGGAGAGGCCTCTCACCACTTCTTCTTTGAGAGCGGAGAAGAACCCCTGTTTCCTCTCCATTTTTTCTTTTCCCCACTCCCTCTCTCACTGCTACTACAATGGAGGTGACCGCCTACCTGCCCTAGAGAAAGAAAAACCCTGAAAATGACTTCTTTTGCTCTGGCCTTTTTCTCTGGCTTCTATCTCTATCTATCTAAATGGCTCTCTCTCTCTCTCTCTCTCTC